GGCTTAAAAAAGCGGTGGTCGAATTTTCATCTCGACATATTTAAAATTAATTTATTTTTCTCATTTAATAATTAAAACCTATTAAAGTTTATTTGCAACTGTAATTTGCTGTTTTTTTGTTTTTATTATTTACGTTGTTTGAGTTTTTCTAGACCAATATGAACGCCACAAACAATTGGCCGTTATATTCATTGAGGATCTGATGCGATTTTGTTTTCACTCGATCTCAACTCCCTTAATGTAAATCTTTAAAGATCCGAAGCCCGATTTTGGTGTCATTTTCATGCAACCTTTTTTTGGTTCAGGCCCACTGTTTGCAGTCTAAGAAAATATATTGTAATACCTAACAATATAGATTTGTTATGCAAAAATAGTTAATTAAATTATAATTTATGGTTATAATAACAATATACGAAAAATTATTTTTGTTATATGTACTGTAGTCACACACTTGAAGAGATACTTTGGTCGTTAACGAGAACCGCTAAAACAGCATATTTTGCAAATTTTCATAGCAAAATTAGTTATAGCATACTTTTTTTGGGGTTTATCTGGTGAGTCTCAAAATGTATTTTCGTTGCAAAAAAAAAGCGTTACGAGTAATATGTTCCATAAAACAGACAGACAGCTGTAGACAATATTTTATTTCAGAAATTTTTTTTTATCATGTTCCAATTTTGTGTATTCAAATTTAAAAACCTTTAAAAAGAACTGTGATTTGCATGATTACAATACAAGAAAAAAAGATAAACTCAAAACAGCTCTGCATAAATCCAAACTTACCCAGCAATGTATTGATTTTTGGGGTCCGAAAATCATCTACCAAAGAGTGTTCAGGAACAACCTTCAAAGAAAAAATTCTCTCGAGATCTTAAATCATTTTTGTCATTAAATCTTTTTATAACCTAGAGTTTTTTAATTATAAATTTTAAAGCATTTTTGTTTAATGTATATATGTTTATAATTTGTTAGTTTATAAACTCTTTGATTGTTTACTTACCTGTTTATATTTGTAATATTTTTTTATTGTATTTATATTTTATCTACTATATACCAATTGGTAACCTGTACACCTGTTTATTTTACGTTTAATGTAATTTTTATTACTTTAATAAAGCTCTATTCTATTCAATTTTATTATATTCTTTCTATTCTAAGCAGTGTAAACGATACAAACGCAAGTACCAAAAACGAATTTAAGAATCCGGCAAGTTATCAGAGGCAAGTGAATCAAAATCATTTAAACGAAAAACAAAAAATAAACATTAAATGAACAAGAAAAAATAAATAATAATAAGTTTAAAAAGTGCGGGTGGCCCCGGTTAAGTCACAAAGTGCTATAACGTCGTAAAAGTTTGTGAGAGAGTGAGTGAATAAGGTTAGGTCACACCGATACCACCTGACTACCTGTATACACGGACTGTCCGCTAGGGAACAGAATTCAACTCTAATTAGTCCAGCTAAGTAATTTTCCTAATTGCATGACCTAATAACGGTACAAATTCGATTCTAATCTATAAACTAATCGTTAAATAATTATATACGAAAACTTCGCAATGTTACCAAAAAATGGCAACTAGCTTCAGAAATCAAACAGGTCCCTACACTGAGAAAAGTAAACTATTTCAAGTGTTAATTATTAACTGAACAGTTTTTGCACATTCAAAACGACCAATGCGCATAATTGTTTATTTAAAAGTCTCGAAATGTTACTTACAAACATTTTTATTACTACAAAAATGTACAAAGATTTCAATTAATGCAGTTCAGACAGTAAATTAATGAAAAATCTCTAATATAAGCACTTTTGTATAACAACCTCTGATTGTTTGTTTAAGATTTCTTTTTATTTGTTTCAAAAACATAATTTTTAATTGAACGATCAAACGAACTTACCTGTGAAGTTCGATCGTAATTATATGAAGCGTCCAGCCCGAACATATGACTTGATTTAATAATGTAGTAGTGCGCTATCTCCCCCCACGCCTACTACGCTTCATTGTGTTTAAAGACAACAAGAGTGACTGGCAGCAGGGGAGGGGAAAAGCAACCCAGGGTAGGGAGTCATATGTTCGGGCTGGACGCTTCATATAATTACGATCGAACTTCACAGGTAAGTTCGTTTGATCGTTCAATTATATTCTGCGTCCAGCCCGAACATATGACTTGATTTAATAATGTAGATGTTTAGAGAACAGAAGATGCCAGGAATGATTTATTTAAAATGATTTATTAAAACTAACATAAAGATTCCTGACTGGTCTTGACCAAAAATAACATGATAATCCACGCTGAGCGGAGAAAAGTTGGGTGGCAGTTTAAACTGCTCCGTCGAAGACCGCAGGGAGAAGAGGTTGATGCAGCGGTCTATTGTAGAAACGGGCGAAGGTTGATGAGGCAGGAGTCCACCCTGCGGCTCGATGAATGTCATCCACTGAAAGGCCGCGTCTAAGAGCGGCGGAAGTCGCCGCATGGCGAGTCGAGTGGGCTGTAAATAAGGAAGTGTCCACTTGGGCTGCGCCTAACGTAAGTTTTACCCATCTACTTAGCGTCTGCCTAGAGGCCGGACCATAAGGTTTTCGGCTTGCTACGAAAAGCCAGTCACAGTCCCGTGGGCGGACTTCTCGGGATTTCGTTAGATATTGTCGCAGGAGCGTCGCGACGCAAAGAGAGGGAGAGGTTTGAAACCAGGGAAGTTGGATACATGGTTGTGGCCTGCGAGGTCCTGAGGTCTTGATTAAATCCGGAATCATTATTTGGGCACCATTTGTCAGAAAACTGAATATTGGACACGCGTATCAACGACAGAGTTTGTATTCTTTGGCCCGAAGCTAATGCAAGCAAGGTGATGAGCTTTCGGGAAAGGGCCCCCAGGTTGCCAGCAGCTTCCTGGGAAAGATGCTGGAGAACGGGAAGAGGATCCCAGATGGCATCATATCGGGGCCTTGTCGGGCGAAGCCGAAAAATTCCTCTTAGGAACCTTTTGAGCAAGGGATCCGTGCCCAAATTCCCCGGAAGGATCAGTGACAGTGCCGATCGGTGAGAGTTGAAGGATCCGTAGGAGTCATTACTCTCTGCAAGACGGTGTTGTAGGAAATCAATTACTTCCCTGACCGAGGAGGTAAATGGTGAAAGCTGACTGCAGTGACAATAGGACCACCAAAGTTTATAAGTCACTTCGTATTGTTTAAGAGTTCCTGCAGCCAGAGAATTTAGTATTGTCGAGGTGGCCTCCTCGGAAATCCCTTTTCGTTTGAAGGCTTCCCGGACAATTTGGCTACCGCCAGAGTAAGGTCTTTCGCCAGCGGATGTGTTCGATTGCTGTAAGGAGAGTAAAGAAGGTCGTTAGAAGGACCTAAGTATTTTATTTCCCCCCTCACCAGTTGCTTAAAGAAGGGGAACCACGGTTGGGAGGGCCAGTAAGGCACCACCAGAATGCCTGTAGCCTGATCGGTAAAGATTTTCCGCAACACTCTAAGGACCATTGAGAAGGGAGGAAAAGCGTAAAAATAAACCTCGCCCCAATTCACAGTAAACGCGTCAACCGCTTCAGCATTAGGATCTCGGAACCAAGAAATATATCGGGGACATTTGTAATTGTCCTTTGAGGCAAATAGGTCTATGCCCGGAGTACCGAACGTGTCAGCGACAGACGTAAAGAAGGGAGGACTAAGGGACCATTCAGTATCCGTCGGAAGAGTCCGCGAGGCCGCGTCCGCCTGCCAGTTATCCGCCGATGGAATATAAGAAGCGAATAGCCACAATTCGCGAGCTTCGCACCATTGCCAGATCTCGCGCGCTAGATTAGCAAGCGATAAATGCTGAACACTGCCCATGCGGTTTATGTATGAAGCAGCAGTGGTATTGTCGGTGCGCAGAAGTATGTTGCAGGCTGACAGGGAAGATGCAAAGCATTGTAATCCAAAGAAGATGGCCTGCAGTTCCAAATAGTTAATATGGTGAAGTTGGTCACTTGGGGACCACCAGCCCCGTGTAGTCTCCCCTTGACAATACGCCCCCCAACCAGTGAGGCTGGCATCAGTGAAAATTTCCAGCAAGAAAGAATCGTGGTGGAGGGCGTTCCGGGTGGTTAAAATGTGATCTTTCCACCAGCGGAAATCCGGTTGAAGGTCCGGAGTAAGGGTTATATGGCCGGCGTAAGAGCCGTTGGAAATCTGCAGGGCCCGGACTTTGGCTCGCTCAAAACGTTTCGTATACAACCACCCGTACTTTACTGCGGGACATGATGCAACAATAATCCCAATAAATCGAGCAAATTGACGGATAGTACAGTGTCTTTTAGACGCTAAAGTTCGAATCCAGTGAAGAACGCGCAGGCGTTTTTCCCGGGGTAGCTCCAGTGTCATTTGCGTGGTGTCGAATATGAAGCCGAGAAACCTGCAACGTGTAGAAGGCGTAAGGACACTTTTGGTTGTGTTAACAATGAAACCTAACTTGGTTAGTGCCGTTAGGGTCCGGTTAACTCCGATGGTGCATTCCTCTGCAGATCTACCGAGGATCAGAAAATCGTCCAGATATACGACACAAGCAATACCATAAGAACGAAGGGAATGCATCCTTCAAGTCAATGGTGGCTAGGAAATAACCCTTATGAATTAGTTTAGCAGCCGTGCGGCTGTCTTCCAACTTGAAATGTAGGGCGCAAACATACGTGTTCAAGGCCCGTAAGTTAAGGATAAATCGCTTTTTGCCGTTTGATTTGTCAGTTAAGAAAACCGGAGAAAGAAACTGTCCAGGTGTAGCATTGCAATGTGAGATAGCTCTCACAGAAAGCAGTTCCTGAATGGAGCTGCTGAGAAGTTGGTGCTCGGAGTAAGACAGTTTAGGAGAAGGCGGTGGGTGCCTTTGCGCAGGTATGCTGGTGAGGGGTAAGGTATAACCCCGAATCCATTCCAATATAACTGGACTCGAGGTTATGCTCGTCCAAGCGTCAATAAAATGGGCCAGGCGGCCAGCAGTTTTTTGAGTACCTACCTGCGTTAGTGGCGCTTGTAATTCGACAGCTTCTTGGAGGTTGAATGTGACTGGTGGTGTCGGTTCGAGGATCGCCCTTTTTGTGGACCAGTCCCCCTCTTGGGACGGGCCGGGCTTTGCCTGTTTAACGGCCTAGATGTAGGCAGTAATTGCTGCTGTCGCTCTCCTTTCCTGTTGTCTGGGTTCACCTTCGAGGTACCTCTGAAAGGGGGTGCAGGGCGCAGGTCCTTGCGCACGGCGTCCAAACCTCTGGCCAGCTTAATTTTTTCCCCCAGGTCTGAGCCAAAAAGCAGCTCAGAAGGGGGGCACTCTTTTAGAAGCTCGACCACTTTTGTGTTCAGTAACGGACAAAGTAAGGTACGTCTCGTCATAGATGTACGGTGAAACAGGTGGGTAAAAATCCGACCAGCGTCAGTTAGGGCAATCAACAACGGTTGTTTAACGGCTTCAGGGAGATTTTCCACGTTCTCAAACAGAACGTTCATACCTTGGCCTAGTGCAGACAGCCCGCGGCCCAACTGTTGTTGGTATTCGGCTTGTGCTGCCTCTCGTGACATCTGAGGTCGAGGAATCAAGGTGAGTAATTCTGGGTTAAGTTTTGGAGCTGCTAACTCCGGAAGATTGTCAGGGACAGGATATTTCCCCAGAAGCGTCAAACGATCCTCCTTCACCATATCGTGCGTCAGGAAGTGACGCCATCTCGCAGCGAGCGCTTCATGTAAAGAGAACCTATCGCTAGGGTCTTTGGATGGATCTTCGCCAAGAATGCCCATCACTTCATCTGGTAAGGTGATGTCATTATGGATAACCAAAGGCTCCTCGTTGATTGAGGTGTTGCCTACCTGGCCCACCCCCGGGCCAGAGCCCGGGAGCTGTGGAGAGGGACTTCTGCTAAGTGGCGCCTCGGTCAGCACCGGGCGGACTAGTGCAGATTGCTCACTATGTGTAGGAGACACCTGCGCGTGTCTGTAAGAACGTATCTCCGAGCGGAGACGAGAGTGAGGTCTACTCGCTGAGCGACTACGGGAGCGACGTCGACTGCTAGATGAGCGACTGCGAGGTCTGCGTCTACTGCTAGACGGGCGACTGTGCGAGCGCGATCGTGCTGATCTAGCGCTTATGGCCTCTTCGAGGCACTTGATGCGTTTTAGCAGTGCCCTCTTATTTACGGCATGGCCATCGGAAGAAGAGGACCGACTACGACGATGTTTGTCTTTCTTGGATCTGCCCATGCTGCTCCGCTATAAAGGAAAAACAAAAGTGTTTTGGGGGGCACCTCTTAATATGTGCAAGGAAACACACCTTGCCTTTTATTTAAACCAAAAACTGTAGCTTATAGCGCCCCTCCATTATTTTAGCATAATTTTGATAATTAAAATAAAAGAAAAACATTAAACCCAAAACGCGCCGTATTTTCTACAAATACGTCAATTAATATAAAATAATCATTATTTTAGGTCCGGCCCTGCCCCAAAATAACATTATTCTAGGTCCGGCCCTGTTCTTCAAGTTTTGACAGCCGTGCTGCTGACTCAGCGTAACGTTAAAACACACGCCTTGTTTTTAATTTGTAGGTAAAAGGAATACCGATAAAATGCTATAAGAATAATAATAATATGCCCAAAACTTTGGTTTGCTTGCAAGATAACAAGTTAAAGCCAATAAACAAAGCTTTGGTTAATAAAACTAAGGTTTTAATCATTTTAATTAATAATAACTAAGTAATGCAAAAACCTCGCAATTTGACTGTTCTATACGGGGCATCGGTAAGTTTTAAGAAAAAAGGATAATTTGTACTTACATTCTTCACTAGCCGGTAATTTTTTAAAACAAGGTAAGAAGTTTTACCTAATAATTATTAAAATTCTTGGGAGAACTGTAGAGAACAACCTTTTTGCACGACACGAAAAAGCACAATGAAGCGTAGTAGGCGTGGGGGGAGATAGCGACGGGGAAGAAACCAGTTTCTTTAGTTTCCCTTAATCTAAACAATCGTGTCACGAAAGCGCACTACTACATTATTAAATCAAGTCATATGTTCGGGCTGGACGCAGAATATAATTAAAAATAAGAATAATAAAAGTGTTAAACTAACAATCTCATTTTTCTGTGTATACAACCCATAAACAACTTAACCAAATAGAAAAAGGCGTAAGAGTAAATAAACCAAATCAAGCAGGAACGACACAAAATTTAGATTTTATAAATAAGTGTTGTGTGTGTGTAATAGGTATATACGAGTATAATATTGTATGTATATGCATTTAAATATAGGTATTAATTAACATAGCATCCCATAAATCAAAGCTTCAAAAAAACGGCCATTCCACGCGTAACGGATGGGACAGTTCCAAGTTTTTATTTAAATAATAAAATTGTTCTATTATATTACTAATGTCAAATTTTTATAAATAGTTCTAAACAAAAGTTGTTTAACAAGGTTTTTATTTAGCAAAATTAGGTATTGTGGTTGTCTGTTTAATTCCTTAAAAATTAATTTTTTTTATTCAAAAACAGTACTAGTAGGGTTTTTGAATAAAAAAAATAATTTTTAAGAAATTAAACAGTCAACCACGATACCTAATTTTGCCAAATAAAAACCTTGTTAAACAGCTTTTGTTTAGAACTATTTATAAAAATTTGACATTGGTAATATAAAATAACAATGTTATTTTGTAAATAAAAACTTGCAACTGTCCCATCCGTTACGCGTGGAATGGCCGTAAACGAAAGCCTAAAAAGCAAACAACATCACAGAAGATAAGAGGAGCGATGCCTGCCATAGGGCCGTACTCCAATTAAGTACACTTCAGGGCCGGCTTTATCTATTTTGTATATTAATATTTATATATGGGGCAGTCCACGCCAAATCGGCCAAGAGTAAGACTTCATGTTTCCGATTTACTTCAAATTTTCAGGGCCGATAAAGAAACTAAAGTAATGAATAAATCTTAAATTTCAACCTCTTTTATGCATTTTTGTAGGTTTTACAAAATAAACAAAAAAAATGTCGAAATTTTTCGATTATTTAAAAACCCGATAGACAAAAAATTTCGAAAAAAATCATATAAACATATTTTTTGACGCTCTTTAAGATAAAATGAAAATAAAAAAATTTGTTCAAAAATTCTCAAAAAAAATCTAATTTTTTTATTAAAATTTAAACTCGCAAAAAACGCCACTTCAAATTAAAAAAAAATCATGATGATGGCGTAAGTTTTCCGCAAATTTTGACTACTTATTTTTGGGGGGGACTCAAAAACTGTAGAAGTTATGAATTTTTTTGTAAAGAAATGCATGTCAAATCGTCGCTACAGATCCAAGCCTACGCGTAGCTACGCCGCGGCGCGCGGTTCCGATTAACGTGCGCTCGGTCTAACGGAGAAAAATGGTTTAACGATTCTCTCTCTCTCTCTTTCTCTCACACACATTCATATTTTCAAACTATATGTTATTAAAACTCCAAATTATTTCTAACTAAGAAGGAAAAAGTAATAATTATTATTAATATTCTATAATTTTACTAATAAATTCTTTGAAAAATATTGTTCAGTTCACAGTTTTCATTAATATTTAACCAGTTAAAGACATAAAATAATAATATTTTAGCAAAAATGTTGAAGAAAATAGTTAAAAATTTTAATCAAAATGGAATTTTAACACAACCATAAATATATTTTCCACCAGCTTAAATTGTTTAAGTCAATGTAGCTAACTGCGACGTTTCCTAATTCTTAATAAAAAAAAAATAATTAACAAAAAGAAAAAGATGGTGTAATTAGAGACATCTGGAAAAGAAAGTAATTAGCCAAAATTTGGCAAAATCTTGAGTTTTCTTAAATACCATAGCCTCGAATAACTTAAATTTTAAAAGTTAATAAAATTACTTTTACAATTTAAGTTATATTTGGTAAATCGCGACTATGGAATTTTAGACATTTAATTTTTGTAAAATTCTTTTTTCCCCCAAAGGCCTTTAATTTTAGCTTTAAATTAAAATAATCCATCATTTTGTATAATGCCATTAAGACGTGAACATATCTACCTATATCTATGTAAGATTCAAATGCAATGAATATAGTTTTAGGTATAACATTAAAATAATTAATTACTTAACATTTCAATAAAATTGGCATTTTATTTATTCAGAAAACTACAGTAACTATAAAACCAGGGTTCATGATTTGCATATGCTGCAAAATTTTAAAATATGTAGACATCTTAGTTAAAATAAAAACCTAAGTTTTCTTAATTTTTTTTAACGAGAGCTAGAAGAGTACCTAGAAAAATACCTAATAAAACTAAAATATGGTTATTGTAATAGTAAGTTTTTTTTTAAATTTGTTAAGCTTTTCTTAAGTCGATTAAAAATTTTTAATTTGCACATAGAAGTTATTGCTAAACCATCGACGATATTTTAATTTGATTGTTTTTTTTTAATAAATGGATCACGCTTATCGAAAAGGAACCAAGCGCCAAAAACTTTTTCTGGACTTAGTAAAATTATTTGTAAAATAACTCATATTTAATGATGCTCAAAAGGTTAATCATCATTTGGAACTTTTCTCAAAAGGATTGAGAAGGTTCCCAAATCATTATAAATTTTTTGAGCAGCTTTAAAAATGAGTTATTTTGCAAATAATTTTGTTTACCCCAGAAACACTTTTTGGCGCTTGGTTGGAAAAAAAATAATTTACAGTTTTAATAAAATATAGTTTGAAAATATTAATGTGTGTGTGAGAGAAAGAGAGAGAGAGAATCGTTAAACCATTTTTATTTTTTGTAGAAATTAATAAATAAAAAAAACAATGTTCTCAAAAAAATTATTTAATGCTATAATATTAAAGAAAACATTTCAAAGAATAATATTTTTAAACGTACTCTTTTTTGCTTATTAGAGTTAGCCATGAATACAGTTGAAATATTAGTAAACAATTATTGACAACTTGGCCTTTAGTTTCTTGACATAATGGTGTGTTGTTTAAAAGGTGTATTTCTGTTTTCTACTTTTAGTCTTTTAAATTTGGATTTTGTTATCTTAGAGAACAAGGTAAGGGTTTTAATATTTGATATAAAGTTATTTAAAAAATATGCACATATGAAAAAAAGATAATTAAATGTTAATGCATGCATTTTTTACCATTTTTTAAAATTACATTAATTTTCAAAAGCTGCAAATTGTAATGTTAAAAAATATTTGTCATAAAAATATTGTTTATACTTAAATTGCTTTATTACCTTTTTGCTAATAACACATTTGGGTGCCAAGAAGTGCCAGGTGCTTTAAAAAATATATTTTTAGGGACTATGTCAATAATTAAAAACGACGTGTTTGCCGTCTGTTGCGGGTCTTTAGCTTACTTGGAGATAAAAATTCGTCTGTTTTTAAATTTGGAAAGCTCAACTTAAATAATGATCGACGAGATAATCAATACGATATGGTAGCGGGAAAAATTAATAATTTTAACAGCGCTCTTGCCAGAATGTGGAAAAATTACAAACAGCCCCGAAAACCTTTTGAAGTCAGACGGGAATGTTTACTTAAATAAATCCATAATTTTTATTAAAGTGGTAAATGTACCTGTACAACAGAGGTAGACCACAAAAATTATTAAAGATCTCGGCAACCTACGAAGAAGATAAAAATGCCATTATTGGATAGAGAATAGTAGAATAACTATTCTAAGGAAGAGCTTACATTTGCTAATCGTAAAAGTCTAGAATCTTTAAGTCGACGAAATGCTACCATATGTTTTTGGGGTTGCTAAAGCCGAATCCGGAGCCCGTTGAACCCCATCACGTCAGGTTTTCAAGATAACCTCAAATAACCTAATAATCCAAGCTAATAAGCCTTTTTAAAACCAAAAACTTTATAAACGAAGCTGTTTATTCACAATAATATTATAACCTTTTATATTGGAGCCAATAAATCCATAACCAAATAACCCTACCTCAATAACCCCATAATTCAAATCCCAATAACCACCTAACTCAAGCAATTGAACTTAACCTATTATCACGCAATTTGTCCAAACTCAAAAATCCCGTAACCGAAGCTGTTAATAGTACTGCAAAAGCACTGCGACAATCCACATTGGGTTGTACTCATGGTCCAGAAATTATAAAGGCTGTGCCTTTTCCGATAGGAATGTTTTCAGAAGAAGCCCTTGAATCTAGGAACAAATATTTTTGGAATTATCGAGAATCATACTCCAGAAAATTTTCCACAGAG